GACCTCCCGGTGCACAGGATGCGCTCGGAGGCAGCGGAGGGGACTCACCTTCCCGTAGGAGCCTTGTCCCAAGACCTTCAGCAGCTCAAACTGGGAGGGGTCGGCCTTCTCGCAGCCGTCCTTCACGTGGTGGCTGATGTCGATCTCCTTGACCACGCCCTCCTCCTGCAAGACAGGCGCCCGGTGAACACGCTTCGTGCCAGCGATGCCGCCTGCAGCCGTGGGCGCCCGGCTTCTCCCCACGACGTCTGCCACACGGCCTTACCACGTCCCAGGGAAATGGAGGGGCTCCGGGAGACCAGCCTGCCTCTGAGGGGTGCGGGCAAGGTCTGCACAGGGAGGGACGGGGGGCTCGGGGACAAGGCCACCCTGGGAACTTGTTTTAAAGCCCACACGGCCCCTCAGTGGACTCAGCCGTGGATGTGGCCTGGGAGACGCATCTGCTTCTCATGTCGGTCTCACTGCCCGACATCCAGCCACAGCGAATGCAACTGCCCTCCCACAGGCCATGTCCAGCAGCAGCGGCAGGGAGCTCGCCCAGCCCAGCGCCAGAGCCCCCAGCAGGAAAGAGCAGCCCCGGCCTTTAAACTAGAACACTGACCGAGCCCGCCGGCTGGCTCAGGGGGTGAGCGCTGACCTATGAGCCAGGAGGTCACAGTTCGATTCCGGTCAGGGCACAGGCCCGGGTTGCAGGCTCGAGTCCCCACCGGCCCCCCTGCAAGCCCCTGTCTCAGCACAACCTGTATTCACCGCCCACGTGCCCTGGGCAGGAGCGAGTCGCAAGGAAGACAGAGGTTAGTGAAAGCGACGGGGAGATGCGCACACGCTCGCGGGGAAGGGAGAAGGATGGTACTTGTGGTCCATTCCCCGGCGCCGATTGAACACAAGGAGGAGGCTCCGCGATTCACTGCGGGGAGCGCTGCCATGCGGACAGGGCTCGGCTTCCAAGAAAACAGCTGTTGACTGGAACTCGCTCCCATCGGCAAGTGCTCCCGCAGCACCGCCGGCCGTGCTGGTCAGTGAATCCACTGGACCGCTGGCCCGGCCGGGTGGGAACTGCAGCTGGACCGAGCTCCGTCCCAGCACGGGCTGCCCAGCCCGGCCGACGTCTGCTCAGAGTGAGCCCGGGCATCGCGATGAAACACAAAGCTTCCCAGACCCGCGCTGCCCAAGCTGTCCCCTCCCTCACCGCCCGCCAGATGTACCTCCCCCGGGGCTGTCACAAGACACCACGGCCCAGACGCTGGTGGTCCATGAGGTCCCGAAGGCTGGCGACCGCTGGCCCTGAGACACTGCTTTCCTTCTTCCTAAGCCCACCCACCTGGGGACAGAGCGCGGCTCCTAGTGCACTACTCCACGCTGCCGCGTCCGGGCCAGCGTGGGCGTGGGGGCCACAGAGGGCGGAGGACAGACACCCTGCCCAGAGCACACACCTCCTGCCGCGTCCAGGCCAGCGTGGGCGTGGGAGCCACAGAGGGCGGAGGACAGACACCCTGCCCAGAGCACACACCTGCTGCCGCGTCCGGGCCAGCGTGGGCGTGGGAGCCACAGAGGGCGGAGGACAGACACCCTGCCCAGAGCACACACCTCCTGCCGCGTCCAGGCCAGCGTGGGCGTGGGAGCCACAGAGGGCGGAGGACAGACACCCTGCCCAGAGCACACACCTCCTGCCGCGTCCAGGCCAGCGTGGGCGTGGGAGCCACAGAGGGCGGAGGACAGACACCCTGCCCAGAGCACACACCTCCTGCCGCGTCCAGGCCAGCGTGGGCGTGGGAGCCACAGAGGGCGGAGGACAGACACCCTGCCCAGAGCACACACCTCCTGCCGCGTCCAGGCCAGCGTGGGCGTGGGAGCCACAGAGGGCGGAGGACAGACACCCTGCCCCCGGAGCACACGCCTGCCCCAGGAGTCACCCTCGCGGCCGCCCGTAACCGCCGAGGGGGCCGAGCTGGCGTGCCATATTTCTCGACTCTCCTGGGGACAGGACCCTCGTGGACACGATGCAATCTTGGCATCTTCCCAGAAAACCACACAGGTGACCCCCCCCCCCAGACGGAGGCCAGAGGGGAGGACCCCCAGTTTTTCGGTGAGGAACCGGTTCTCCCAGGACCACACACGAGGGATAGAATCCAGCCGTGACCGACGACTCTCTTCTGGGGCTGAGTTTATCTCAGTGCTTCTGGGACAGCCGACATAGGAACCCTCTGGGCCCCGCCGATCAGCACACAGACCTCACCCGCGCTGACAGGGCCGCCAAAGGCTTTTGGCAAAGTCTGAGCAACCGGAACACAAACAAGCAAGCGATGTGTGAGTTTTGCGCAAAGAACTTGATGTTTCCAGTTAGGAAGTCTGGGTTTCGGTCTGGACCCTGCTTCTTCCTGGTTTTAGGGTTTTGGACACATAGTCTGCTCAGTGTCACTTACCCAACAGCGCAGGTGAGCCATGGGTTAAACATTACACGTACGCCCCAGCCGGTGTGGCTCAGTGGACAGAGCGTCGGCCTGCGGACTGAAGGGTCCCAGGTCTGATTCCCCGTCAGAGCACGGGTTGCAGGCTCCATCCCCAGTGCGGGGCGTACAGAAGGCAGCCGATCACTGATTCTCTCTCATCACTGATGTTTCTTTCTCTCCCCCACCTTCCTCTCTGAAATCAATAAAATATATATTTCTTTTAAAAATTGCCCTTACTTTAATAAATATACGGAAAATAGCATATCCCAGATTATGAACAAAGAGATTCTTTGAGAAAAAAAAATTAGCAAGATAGTAAATGCAACAGGGAAAGCAGACAACCTTCAAAGCCGTACAAAGTAGTAAAACGACAACTGAAGGGGAGACCAGAAGCAGACGGAAACATCACAGGACAAAGTAGACGGAGTGAGTGGGGAGAAATGGCGGAGGCAGGGCTGTGAATTCCCTCCTGTGCATGGGTGTCTGCCTCAGTTCACTGACTGACTGACTGATCGCCTAAGCATTTACTTCTGGCTTTATCGACGTGTCACAGCAGGTAAAACGGTAAGATGTTTAAAGGGAGCGTCGTGCGGTGTGATGCAGGCCGTGCGGCTGCTGCGAAGGAAGCCCTCCAATCCAGTCCCTTCCCACCAGACGAAGCTCCGTGGGGACCCTACTCTTCCCAACAGATAAGAACGGTTTTACACTAACAAACCAGGAGGGAGCAGATGCTTTCAAAACTCCCGTGTACCCCACCGTCTGTACACGAGCCACCCCTGACTCCCGACAGGCACAGGCCCGCCGTGGGGGACACCGTGCACATGCCGGGCTCTGCCGCAGCTCCGCTTCCCGAGCTGACCGACTCCTCACAGTGTGGGGTGGGGGTGGGCAGTGGGGGGGTGAGTTTAAAAAGAGAACATGCTGCGGCTACTCCCCGAAGAGCTGTAACGGTTTGTCTGTTTTCATCTCTGCATGAGAAGCCAGAAGCACGACGCCAGGTGTTGGGTCTGACCTGGGCGGGGCAGGGCGGGGAGCAGGGAGAGGGGGGCTCGGAGGCGCAGGGACCACCCTCGGCGGCTTGGCCTGGAGTCCAGACGGCCCAGCGAGGACAGGTGCCCCAGCGCCGAGCGCAGGGCGAGCTTGCTCGTTCCGTCTGTTTGTTTACTGTGCGATAAACACACTGCATTTCCAGAGAAGAAAGCGCACTTCTGTCCTAAACACGATGCCCCGATGGGCCCTGAGTCCGTGCTGTTGGTGATCCTCCCGCATCTGGACACCCTCGCATCCCGACGTCCGGGACGGAGGGCGACTGTCCTGCCCACGCTGTTTCCTGTTAAACAGCTCACGGGAGGGCTGAGGCTCAGAGCAAGGCCCACGCCGGGCGCATCGGAAGAAGGGACGGTCCGGGGCCTCTTCATCCACAGGGCTCACCGTCTCTCGTTGGAAAGGGATTCCCTCCATCGACTGGGAAGGATTCGGTTTGAGGTGGGAGGGAGCTTGTTGGGAAATCCAGTCACTTCCGGTGGAGATGGGCCCACAGGCGAGAGTGGGTGACTCCAAGTCACAACCAGGACGAGGCGGGGGGCCCCCGCTCCTGACCCCAACACTCAGCTCCTTTTACCCGAAAGCACGTGCCCCCACCCCTGACCCCCTCGGGGAACAGGGGTGACCACACACACACAGATGGGCCGTGATCTGATTAAGAGTTGGTAACCTGGCCGGCGTGGTGCATCGACCTATGAACCAGGAGGTCACAGGTCTATTCCCGGTCGGGGCACATGCCCGGGTTGCAGGCTCGATCCCCAGTGTGGGGCGTGCAGGAGGCAGCCAATCAATGATTCTCTCTCATCGTTGATGTTTCTCTCTCTCTCCCTCTCCCTTCCTCTCTGAAATCAACAAAATATATATTTTTAAAAGGCTGATAAGTGAGCAGTCTCAGGAACTGCCTCCTGGAGAGCGAGACCGGAAGACCCGCCTGTGAGAGGGAGGCAACCCAGGCACGTGGGCCGTGGGCGGGGCAGTGGCGTGGTCCCTGGTGCTGGTGTGCGTGAGCCGTGGGACCTGGGCAAGTGCCTCGGCCACCCCTCACCTCCCCCCTCTGGGACGCAGGGGGAGACGAGACAGCACTG